GCCAATTAATCTTACAAAATAGATAAATAATAGAAATTTTGTCCTTTTGCAAAATTAATCCAAAACAGGAAAATTTACCTTAATGTTTAGTTGACTGCAATTTTTCTAAATAAATATTTTTACTCTAAATATTTTTTTCTCTTTTAACAGCATGCTAAGTATTCTATGGGAGGCAAATAATAAAATTCATGATTAGCATCCATTTAAACACAAAGAAATAATCTCTTTGTTCTATTTTAGATAGCAAAAGGAAATCTTTTCTGAAGCTCCATGTACCATAAGAATGTGGACATTATTTACTTTAATGTTTTAGAGAAAGAATTCTGGTCAAAGAAATGTATACTCAAACTAAAACTGAGGAGGATGGTATAATGAACTACCTGTTCTAAAGTGATAAAGACTTCCAAGAATAAGATACAGTTTCCAGAAAGAAAAAAAATCATACATGCATGCTCCAACAAAACAAGCTGGGGGTGTAGACCTAATGATTGAGTAATTGTGGGGTTCTATGTCTGAAAGAATAGTCAAAAAAAAAAAAAAAAAGAAAAGAAAAGAAAGAAACAAACAAAAAAACCCACAAAAACTCAAATGCTCCATACTGGTGTCTCAGCTGGTCAGTACTCCCCTAACAAACCCCATTCCCTCAAAATTAATCAGACTCAAGAATGAGATCTTTTAAAAAATGTCAAAAACTACTTTAAAATATATTGTGATTCTTTACACTAGGAGGCTTTAAATCTCTTTATTTCTTCCTTTAAAAGTGAAAACAAATAACACAATTCTGTGTCTTGGATCTCAAATTTGGCTCTGAATATGTGTTTCAAATCTCATTAATTACAATATTGGCCCCGTGAGATACAGTTACTGATGCAAAGAACACTCTTTGTACTCAAAATAATTTGAACAAGGGCAAAGAAGCATTTTATTTACATGTGTAAAAATTAAGAGGAAAATAAAAGAGACGATTCAGGTAGCTGCTGAGATTTTTTTTTAAAATAATATGCTGAGATGTTTTAATGATAATTGATTTGATTACTTAAGCTTTAAGGTTACACATATAGGAATAGCCATATTTTCACTTTGTATAATTGTTGGATGATAACATTCTTGAAAAGGTAACTCTGACATTAACTTGGCAAGCTCTGAACTAAGACCTTTTAGCATTTTACTTTTTCCAGATGCTAAGACCAAATTGTTCTGAATTTCATACACCACTGTGCAGATCTATAATTAATTAATTTTTTTAAATATCAGAAAATATGCCATTACCCAAAGGATTCTTCTTTGTAACAAATCTGGGTAAAAACCAATCAAATGAATAAATTACAGCAGTATATAGCAAACAGACCCTCTTGTTTTCCTTCTTCATTTTCTTCTTTCTTTAGGAAACAACAAATTAAAATATGGCTATTTATGGCCCTCCCTGGTAGCGCAGTGGGTTAAAGCACTGCACTGAGCAACTAAAGCCACTTACACAAGAGTTCGATCCCCGCCTGCCGTGGAGGTGACCACATGGCATGGCAGACCTCTCCTGACCCGCCCGCTGCTCCCCTCAGCAGTGTACTTCATCGATCTGCCTGTTCTGCTTCCGCTCTGTCTCTGGTGAATCCTCTCACCCTCCGCATCTCTGGCCTGTACCCCAGTTCTGTATGAATAAATAAATAAATCTTTAAAAAAATAAAAAAATTTAAAAAATTAAAAATAATAATAAAAAATATGGCTATTTGTGATTTTGTAGTATAAGAAAATATGTGGTCATACATTTTCACTTATAAGCAAATGTGTTGACTCAGTGGTAGAAAGTAAAGTCCACTACAAATACGTCTCAATGCTTTAAGTGATGAGGGTCATTGGCTAAGTGTAGCCACAACTTAAAAATTTTGCTTTGAGAACTGATGATGTGTATTGGGTCTTTAAATGAATACTTGAGGAAAGCAGCCCTGGTTACATATAAAAATCACCTGCAGCATGCTGAAGCTACAGATACCTGGGTCCATCCCTAAGTTTTCTGATTTAGTTCATCTGGGGTAGGATTCCAACTATCCTATCTAAGAACAAACCAATCAAAACAACAACAAAAAAGACAATTCTAATGAGCCACAACTGAGAACCATAGAGAAGCCCAGTGCAAGAGCAAGCACCATAGCTACAGGTGATTCTAATTTATGCTTCACTTATAATTTCTCCTCTTTACAGTGGTATAAGAACAATTCTTTTTCAATGAAATTACACATCAGATATTGAATCTCATATAGCAAGACATACAATCTGGAAAGCAGAAGCAAACCTCAGCTCCCAGTTAGCCATGAGCACTCAAGTGTAAAAACCCAATAATTTTTTTTTTAAGATTTATTTATTTGTGCATACAGAACTGGGGTACAGGCCAGAGATGCGGAGGGTGAGAGGATTCACCAGAGACAGAGTGGGGAGCAGAACAGGCTGACTGATGAAGTACACTGCTGGGGGGAGCAGCGGGCAGGCCAGGAGAGGTCTGGCCATGTGGACTCCTCCGGGCAGGTGGGGATCGAACTCATGCTGAAGTGGCTTTAGCTTCTTAGTGCAGTGCTTTAACCCGCTGTGCCACCAGGGAGGGCCCTGATGTTCACTTTTTAACAATATTACAAAGCCCATTCTTGGTTTTTAATGAGAACTATTCCTTATTTCAGGTGTGGGCAGGAGGGTGATCAGCAGCTGCCAGAATTCCCTCAATGACAGTGTTCTTTAAAAAAAAAAAATTTTTTTTTTAAGTTAAAAAAAATTTTTTTTAGTCACTATATCATCCTTCGTTTTTGCACAATGTGTGGTTTCTTGGTGAAATTCACACCACCAATTCATGCGTATACCATCACTGTAGTTCCTTGTGCTCTTCAGCAGCCCCTTTGAGGGAATGTTCTATGAGTGGTGGAGTTTAAGATGCTACTAATGTTCTGGGTTAAAGTCACTGGATGTATGTAGATAATTGAACGACAATGTACATAACACTAACCTCAAAGGTAGACTGTAAACAGCTGTAGCCTAGTGCACATTTAAGCATTCTGAGCTAAAGTTCCTCAAAAGGAGAGGCTTAGGGGCATTTGGGCAGCTCCTTCCAGTTCTTTAGAATTCTAGAGTGCCTGGCTCCAACCATCAACTCTTTGCAGGTCATTAGAAACAGGAGTATTTTGAGTTAGAAATAGCAAGTTATTTTCTTGGAAGTTAATTAACTTAAATGATGTTATTTCCTCCACTTTCTAATTCTTACTATATGCTGACTTTATTTTCTCCTTTTAATAAAAGTACTTGTATTTTTCTTATACATAATGTCAGTCTATTGCTTTTGTCATCTTTTGCTATCATATTTTATGACTTCTTCATTTACTCCACTTTTATTCTTCTTTCCTATCCCTTTACACTTAAACTCTTCCACTCCAGTCCATACCCCCATTTCCCTTAACCCAGTTTAGCACATCCTTCCTCTTCATTTTCTCAGTTTTTCATTTATGTTTGGTTGCCAACCCCTTTCATGATTCTCTCATTTTTTTGCTAACTGCCCTTCTTTAACCTTCTGTTGATGTTTTATTCCTATCACTTGCTGTCAATGTCCACACAAGTCCATTTTTTTTTCTATTCCATCTATGCTGTATCTATATGCATTTTTATGACCTTACTACTAAAAGCTGAAAACTGTATGTGAAGACAGAAAGGTATTTCCCCCCACTTGAATCCTATTTTCTCTTCCCATCCCACAGCTGTTCCATGTCTATTCATTCTTTCCCAGCCTGTCCTGCTGCCTGACCTTTACCTGCACCCTTCCCCTGTCCTTGCCTATTTGACGCCCATCTCTTCTAATTCCCTTTGCACTCTAATGCTACAACCAAGGATCCCACCACACAACACGGGGTGGCCAGGGAGGGGGAGCTGGGGGGCGGGGAGCAGAGAAGAAATGGGAGTTCTATGGGGAACCAGATTGTGTGTCTGAAACTTTTGAGCATTTACTGAAATAGCATTAAGGACTTAGATCCAGGACTATTTTCGGGCAGTCTTTCAGCGCTGGTACAGCTTTGCTCACCTTGGAGCACAGCTGCGGCCTATTCTGATCAACAAGGACTTGGATGTCTCTTTCAAGGTGTTCTAAGACCCTTTCCACTCTAGAGGTCAGGATGAGTAGGCAACATGCAGTAAGGCTATAAAAACAGACCAGTGGGGGATGCCTGGAGCCCCTTCCCGCAGCAGAGTTGATTCAGAAGCTAGTGCTTGGTGGGACTCCGGACTCCGTGAGTGAGGCGGCCGGGTGAGGGGGGCACTGCGGCGGGCAGTTACCAGGCCATCTTTGGGAGGCAAGCTCACTTTTAAAGAGACGAGGCAGGCCTGAGGCAGGGTGCTCCCCTGGGGTGGAGGGCGCGGCCCTTAGGGCCAGGCGACGCCAACCCGGCGACGCCGAGGGCCGGAGGCACAATCCCTCCCCTAGAGGAAGACGAGGCGCTCCAGGCCGTTCCGCCAGAAGGTCGAGGGAACAGCGCGCGTGTCCCTCGCTAGCCGGCCCTCTGGGAGCAGAGCGGGGGCGACACCAGAGGGAGTAGGGCTGAGGGCGGCAGAGATCAATCCTGGGTACGGGCGCGGTGTCACAGATCGGAGAGGAGCGGTTGAAAGGGGCTGCGGGGGAGGTGGGCAGAACTCCTGGGGCTGTGGGTCTGTCTGTGTACTCGGCGGGCGCCCCAAAGTCTGGGACCGCCAGGGCTCCAGCTCCACCGGCTGCAGCCAGAGACTCCAGGCCGCACTTTCCCCTCCTCCCGGCGCCTTCTCTCCAGTGAGGAGCCGAGCGCGGGCGGCGCAGGGGGAGGGGCGGCGACGGAGAGAACAGCCAGTTGTTTAAAATCCTTCTAGAGCAGTTTCTAATTCCCCCCTTGCGCCGGGGTTCGGAGGGGGGAGGGGGGAAGGAGAGCGGGAGGAGGGAGGAGAGCGAACAGGGATGGAGGGAGGGAACTGGGGTGGGAGGGAAGGAGGGAGGAGACTGCCGCTTAGGCTGTAGCCGCCGCCGCGCGCTTCGGAAGGCCGGAGGGAGGGGAGGCCTGTCAGTCTCGCGCGTTGCCTGGGCGAAGGGGGCGGAGCCTTGGCGTGGGGCGGCCAATAGTGGGGGTGGCTGCGTGGGTCGCCATGGGGACGGGGCTGTTCCCGGGGAGGCTGTGATGGGTTGACAGGTGCGTGACAGTGGGAGCTGCTCTCGGCACAAGCATGTACGGCAAAGGCAAGAGTAACAGCAGCGCCGTCCCGTCCGACAGCCAGGCCCGGGAGAAGTAAGTGTCTCCGCTTCTCACCCACCTCCGCCTTCACACGCGCGCACACACACGCACGCACTCGCACACTCTCTTGGAGACACACAGACACACAGACACTCTCGCCCGGGGAGAGCCGGGGGTGGGCTGGCAGGGGGAGGGGTGTGCGGGGTGGGGGCGTGTGGTGCGGGGAGCGGCTGTTT